GGCTTACAACTTTCCAAGTCAACACTTGGTTACAAAAAGGTGAGTACTAACTCTACACAAAATAAGCCCATGGCTTGATATACATGTAATACAAAAAGTAATCAAAAAGGTCTCTCAGCCACTAAGCCTCGCAAGCTACGTCCTTGGAGGTGGCATAACACCTGTACCTAAAAATGATGTCCCATATAGGGTGAGCCAATGGCCAGTAGAGATATGCTAAACATAATATTAGCAATAACTAAAACAGTAGCCCTTGATAAATATTTAACTCATATAAACCAACATACAGTACAATCTAGTTTCATAATCCTTTACTTAACAAAATCTCAACTTGTAAACACAGCTTCGAACCTGGCCAAACAACTTAAATGGGACTACATCTCATGCCAATAATACTTCAAACTGCCATTTTACGAAAATTGCGTCCGTGGGATTCGGCACCCAGGTGTAATTATTTTCTTATGGCCATTTTACGGAAATTTCATCCGCGGGACTCGGCACCCATGTATAGATATTTTTGATTTGCCATTTTACGGAAATTTCATCTACGGGACCTGGTACCAATGTATAATTATATTCGAATTGTCATTTTACGAAAATTTCATCCGTGGGATTCGGCACCCATGTATTCAAATACTCATCATATACAATGACCAATCAATACACAAATTAGTTGTATTATTCCAACCGTCATACTCAATGACATACTCAAATTGATTAGTTTTAATTCACCTAATCATCATGCAGTGTCTACAACAATCAAGACTATCCTCCACCGATAGCCCAAAGCAGTTATTTCTAAACAGATAATAAATGCACCAACAGATAAATTATCAATAATTCTCAAAGGTGAGTGATTATTAAGTCCAACTCCACTATTCTACTACATAATGAGCCAATTTCGTTATTCCCAGCTCAATTTCATATTTCCATAATAAATGTCATTAATTACACTAATGACCCAAATATACCCAAACACGGCATTTTCCCATTTTTTCCAATATTGACCCAAAGGTCCAAATATTAACCTTAGACAACTACAATCCCATTTTAGAACCCAAGTACACATGTATTGGCCCCAAAGAACAAAACCCCTCTTTCCAATATAAGACATCTCAAACCCTAACTTCCCAAATCAAACCATTTATATAAAAAGCTCAACATTTAGGTTAAATCTCATAAAAATGAGTAGTTATCTCTACCTCAAATGATGAGACCAAATGGAGAAGTTGAAAAAAACTCGAAGTGCTCCAGACCAAGAAATTTTCGGATCAAAGTGAAGATCACACCAAGCACAACCTTTTTTACAAAGAGACTAGGCTAGAAACACACTAGAGCTAGATGGATTCTTAGAGAGAGAGAGAGAGAGTAGAGAGAGAGGCTGCTAAAATTAGGATTTTGAAAAGTTAGAGAGAGAGAGAGAAAGTTGAAAAGTGATTTAAAATGACCCAGCTGCGATCTGATATACGTATGACCCGCTCGAGCGGAGAATAGGACGCTCGAGCGTCAAACACAAAAACTGGACCCGCTCGAGCGCCAAGACACAACTGCAAAACACACCCGCTCGAGCGCAAAGAGAAACCCGCTCTAGCGTAGATTACCCTCTCCCAGTATTTTTACAGACATTGAACACCAGCTCGAGCGCAAAAGGGTCCGCTCGAGCGCGACCCGCTCGGGCGTAAGGAAATCCGCTCGAGCGTGAAAAACACATCTGCAGTACTTTTGCAAATGGACAAACTACTGAAAGTATGCAAACTCCGCTCGAGCGGAAGAAGACCCGGTTGAGCGGATCAATAAAAATCTAGGTAACAAGAATTGGGACAAAAGCTCAACCAACCTGTTTGAAACACGCCCAAGACAATTCTAAACTCCAATACAAAGAGTTAAAGGACGAAAATGAAATACAGACAACAACAACTATCCACGGAACCGCGTCCGGGATACAGTAAACATGAGAGGGAAAACTGGGATCGCTATACTAATTAAATTACACTCAATCGTATACCAACAGAAAATCAATTATTTATTTTACTACCACACTCATTATTATTATTATTATTATTATTATTATTGTGGTTGTTGTTGTTGTTATCAATATTATTATTTATTTACTCATACTTCTATATTTATTTATTTACTATCTTTAACTTTAATTTGGCCCCAAATAATAATTCCTAATTAATCCCATATTTGATAATCCAATGCCAAATTTGATCCTGTATTTGTTATTATTTATTTCATAATATATCATCACATACAACCATAATACTAGTATAAAATTTAAGGCACAACTTAAATTTTCAGATTGTTACAATCTTTTCTCCTTTTAAAAATTTCGTCCTCGAAATTTGTCATATTTATAAGCTATCCATTGCGTACTCTGATAACTATATATATTAGATGATTAATCTGATAGAAAATATTTTCTCAAAATTTTTTTTACCAAAAACAACTCACTGTCTAGTTGTCAAAAATTATTTTGGGCCAAAATGAGAAACAATCAGTGACTTTAAAAACTTTTTATTAGACCACGTATGAAAAGCAGCCAAACTTTCTTGTTTTGAAGAGCTGACAACCAATTGACTACCACTTGAGCTATTATTTTCAAAAACAAGTGCAATGCAACTCATAGAATTAGAAGAATCACTCCTATACTCATAAAAAAAGATCAACAAAACCATTACGGACCCTCTGAATATGCTTATTAGCATCAACACTAGAAATAAGCCCAAAGTAGTATTCCACCAAGTCCATTTTAAATCTCGGATCGAGAACCACTGCAATTGCTAACACCAAAGAACATTCTTCCCAATATTTTTGAAATTTCACTCTCATTGGACCGGCCATCAATTGAATGCAATCATACTCACTTTGCTCCCATTTTTTCATTTCAAGTTGAATAAGACAAATATCGGGAAAAAACACATTTGAAGTCGGAAAAGTGGTACCACTAAAGTGAGATGTAGCATCAAAAAAAATCTTCAAGCACCCACAAATCACATTTGCTACATTCCACTCATCCTCAGAAGGATTGTGCTTATATTGTTTGTCAATTTGCCCTAAGCGGTGGAATGCACTTTTCAAATCTAATGCAGCTTCAAGCATTGAATAAGTGGAGTTCCATCTGGTAGGAACATCCATGGGGACTTTCTTTTTATGATGTAACTTAACATGATTCACTGCAACATCAAATTTTTGTTTTCCATAAGGAGACCTCCCTAAATATCTCACACTTTCTCGGATTTTTGAAATAAGACTACCAATCACCTTCAAACCATCCTGAACAACTAAATTCAATATGTGCGCGCTACAACGCACATGAAACAATTGTCCACCCAAATGTAGTAATCCTTGGTCATGTAGCCATCGCTTTAAGAGTCTCACCATGACATCATTACTCGTTGCATTATCGACTACCATTGAAAATAACTTCTTATCTATGTTCCACTCAGTGTTAACAAATTTCCATTTGGTCAAAGTTTAATATTTTTGATTAAGATTGGAATTCTTCAGATAATAAAATTGGACTTCACGTTACCAACCAGTTTCATAAATAAATAAAATTGTAATTCTTCAGATAATAAAAAACATATTATAAACATGCACACCTACTTCGCTAGAACTTCATATGTCTACATCTAACTCTATTGTCTCAGTTGTCGCTACACTCGATCCTACGAGTGAAGTGAAATGCTGCACTCGAGCATTGTAAGCTGTCTCTCATTCTGCTGTAGCAGGTAAATGGTAACGTCGCCAATTTGTTGCTATAGATGGCACCGGGTGACCATGCACCAAGAAGACCTACAAATATGAAATAATGGTAATTACAATTTACTATTGTATTGCTAATAACGAAAACAAATTTGTTTCAATAATGGGCCTCATAATGAGTACCTGAACGAAATGGTTGTTGTTGACGAACTCGATACATATCTCCTTGCGAGATGCAATCAGCATTGGGATAGTTCTAAGAGGGAGAAAAGTATGGCATTGTTGAGAAGATAAGTGAAATAACACAACATTGTAAAAAGATAATATCAAATGACCTATGTCAGGCATTGTCATCCAATGACTATATGCAGCATTTGATTCAAAATACGCTAAAGTAGTAGTTAACTCATCAATTCTTTCTTGGCCCCCAAATAAACTCTTGTAGTGATCTATATGGGCATGTAATTCTTGTAGTAAATCTTTCTTCACTTGCAACATCCATCCTTCCCAAATCCTATCAATCCAGCAATGGTTCAGAATCCACAATTACTATCAGCATCAACATTCTTCACAAGTCGAATATATGGCCTTAAACTTGTAGGAAATTCACATATAAAAGATAAACTGGTGTTTTTTGTTGATCGATGTGGGTATACCTATACACATACAATCCATTGTTAAACTTAGTTAATACATGTTGTTGTACAAGTATAAGACATAATTAATCGCTTTGCAAACTTACACCTTTGGTTGCTGCATTGATTTTAATTTGTTTGGACACGTATTTTTCTTCAAACCTACACTTGGTGAATAGCTGTCCTGTGCAGATGAAACAAACTCAAAGGCAGAGGGCTCACAACGAATAGAAGTATCAACCTTCAGGGATGGTCGACCCTGTGGGTTAAGCTTTACTTCAGGTTCAATCAAGAATATACTCTCAGGTGTATGTATCTCCCTCAACTTCTTTAACATTTGAACCTGCATAGTTCGATCTACCTTTTCGTAACGTCGAGCAAACATATCCAACTTTGATTTGCAATCCAAAAATGAATTTGATTTTTTAGGAGTATTAAGCATGTCTAGCTTGGACCAATGTGGATCTACAGAAGTTAAAGGAATTGGTCAGTTTTCTCTCATATAATCTGCTATTTCATGCGCACACAGTAATCCATGTGTACGACGAATAACACAACCATATGTAACAATGTCCATGCCAACAAAAGATGCTCGCTTGGACTGTGCCAATATCATTTCCAATGCTGCAATAGACACATTCCCACAAAGATCTTTAAATTGAGCAGGCTTGAAATTATGTTGCACAACTATCTTGCTCTTCTCAAAAGATGATTTGATGTCAGTGTTGTAATTACCCAAAAATTTAAGTTGTCTCTTAAATTTTATACTAGTATTGTTGTTGTATGTGATGATATATTATTAAATAAACAATAATAAATACATAATCTAATTTGGCATTGGATTATCAAATATGGGATTAATTAGGGATTATTATTTGGGGACAAATTAATAGATATATGGAATTATAATACTAGTTGGACTAAATTAAAGTTAAAGATAATAAACAAATAAATATAAAAGTAAGAGTAAATAAATAATAATATTGATAACAACAACAACAACAACAACAACAATAATAATAATAATAATAATGGGTGTGGTAGTAAAATAAATAATTAATTTTCTGTTGGTATACGATAAAGTGTAATTTAATTAGGGATTAATTTATTTATATAGTTATATTAGAAAACTAGGCCAAAGTGTAATTATCATAAATATTTATTAAAGATAAGTATAAATTCATATAAATTATGATCAAATCTGTGAGAGGATTTGTACTGGCCACGTGATGGATCGGAATCCCGCCTTAGCTGCTGAAAATGGATTGAAGAAACCGAGCAAATTTTGAGGATTTTTTGGATTGTGGTGGTTGTTGAGAAAAAAGAACTTTCTGATCCATTATAATTCTTGGGAAAAAAGACAAAGATGTAGAGATTATTACACAACTTTAGAGAGGGAGTGACTTCTATCATGAAAGGTCGGTTCAATTTTTCCATATTCTTGGCGTTTACCCTGAAAGGTAGGTTCATTTTTTCCATATAAGGTTGGGATATCAATGTGGAAAGTTTTGACATTTCCATTTTAACTTCATTTCCTTCACTAGTAACTCTCCATAGAAAAAAGCAAGCAATTCATAGAGCCTAATCTTTATAGTTGTAACAACCCGAAAATTTAAGTTGTCCTTTAAATTTTAAACTAGTATTATGGTTGTATGTGATGATATATTATTTAATAGATAAT